ATTTTGGCAAATACTTAGGTATTTGCTGATACTCAGTTGATGATGAAACTTCACAGTGTGTACTGGCAAATTTGAGTCTAAAATTTAATTTATAGCTGTATGGTATTCTGTGGAGTTTTTACTTTATGCGTATTTTAAGTCTAACAGAATATGATAAACTATGTTGAAGTAATACCTTATTAACTTCATTTTGTGGCAAGGATTGGAAAAGTAAGAGCCGCATTCTTCTAATCGAAGAACATATGGAACTTAAAACAACTGTCAGTCAACATCAAAGTTAGTATCTTCAATACGAATGTCGAAACAGTCCTACTGCACTGAACTGAAACGTGGAGAATTTCTATGACCATCGTCAAAAAGGTACAAGTATTTATAAACAATTGTCTACGCAAGATACTGAATGTCTGTTAACCGTATATCATTAGCAACAGCCTAACGTGGAAGAGGACAAACCAACTTCCAGATGAGTAGGAAATTAGGAAAAGACGTAGAAAGTGGATAGATCATACATTACGGAAATCACCAAACCTCATCACGAGGTAGGGGCTAACTTAGAATCTTGAAGGGAAGGGGAAAATAGAAAGGCTGAAGAACACACTACGTCGGGAATTGGAAGCAGACATGAAAAGGATGAATTGCAACTAGAAAGAACTAGAAAGGATTGTCCAGGACAGTGTTGGATGAATAGTGCCGGTGGGTGGCCCATGCTCCTCCACGAGGGATAACAGTAGTATATTTGTATATTTGCACTAGTTAAACTACGAATTCTCCTCATTATGTTCACAGTTTATCTAAAACTAGAAATAGAGATCATTCAATTTCTGTCAGTCACAGTAAAGACATTATTCGATCGACTGTTTTCCTTCAAATTCAGTAGTACACTAAGGTTACCAGTGAATACTTACTATTTATCAGTTGATTAACTAATAGATTCCTGAAAAAGTTAATTATTTCTTTTATCATCTGTCTTGATTATTTTCTCTATTCAACGTAGTACGTTTAATAAAAATTATACGAGACAACAAAGGTTTATCTCAAAAGATTTGAGGTTTTTGATTTTCGTTACTATAAATCTACTACTTATTTGTATAATTATATTTTATACAATACTGTTTTCACTGTTACCAACATCTTGGAAAGTTTTAGGAAATCAGTTAATTTCGTTTCACACAATTCAAATGTTTTGTTCATATCTTGTTGATATGATAAACAGTTTCCAAGATCTGATTTCTATCACTATATCGCCAAACAGTGAAAATATAAAAAAAATTCTAAACTTTCAATATCATCAAATACGTTAATAGTTTAATTTTCTTATTGTGATCAACTAAACTTTTGTTTGCACGAAAATTATCGATTTTATTTTGAAAATTAATTAACAAGCAGTTTTGCATAGCAATTAATTTACTCGGGATTAAAATAATTTAGTTCGTTTCTTTCTTTTTTTTTAATCGTTTTATTATTTACATTTATTTGACATCGTATTTGTAAGTATTAAATATTTCGTTAACTAGTGACAATCGGGCAATTTGTTAACTAGAATCTGATAAAAACAAAAAAAATTTTTTTTGATTAAACTGGATAGCAACAAATCTATTCTTAATGTATAATGTCCTATATAGTCATAAATAATTAGAGCTAAGCAAACTGATAATCACATTGTTCTTGGTATATAAATTGTTATACAACCATATTGATCTATTTGTGTATATATATATATTTATGTATTTATAATCATCAATTGAAATTTTCTTATATGAATATATTGACACAAATATTGGTAATAAAATATTCAACCCTAATGAATGGAAATAGCTATCAGAAATAATAGACTAATTATTGTCAATACCATTCCATCTATTCTCTTGTCTCTCTATTCAATAATCTACCATGTACTCATCTATTTGATTGTATACATATCTATTCATAGACAAATTTACATGATTTGTAGGTAGTCTAAAGAAAAAAAATGTCATTAAGGATTGATGAAATACTTATAACTGGGCGGATTATATTAATGATAATAAGAACAACAATAAACAATTTAATCAGTTGAATGATGAATAAATGACAATAATTACAAAAGGTATATTGGTCATTAAATATAAAATTGAGGTTAATAATAATATAATTGAATAATAAATTGATTTATTGAATAGTGTATGGTGGAAAGAATAAAATGGATCATTGTTTAAATTACTGTCTAATTAAATGAGAGTTTATTTTTTTGGCCAGTAATTTATGCTTATCAACTATTAACCTGTTCATTTGTATCACAATAATAGTAATAATAATAATTTAGCATTAAGTTATTTTGTCATCATTGTATCATTTCAAAGAGAGGGTTCTTGACAAGCCTTTTTTTCCTAATTTTATTGGATTAGTTGATAAAGTAGATTTTTCTGTTAAAACTAGAAGTAATCTACATTGGGACTTATAAATTCATCGGAGTAATATTGAACAAATTTCAAAATCATTCTAAATACAAACGAATATCAACTAAATAACTAATGGGATTGTAGAGAAGATTTGTAGCTCAGGTGAATGATTTAGGTGCTTTTTTTCTCTCAGCTGGATAGTTTAGTCGTGGAGCTTTCATCGTTCTTCTGACATAACATCTTCAGCACAAACTTCAGGTAGAAGAAGAAATTCAAACACTTCACTTCCATTTGAAGTTTGTACTGATGATGTTGTTCAGAAGAGTGATGAAAACTCCAGGACCAAAATATCCAGCTCAGAGAACAAAACTCCACCTAAATAACTAATGGCAATAAAAAACATCAGATAGCTATTTCATTCCAGGTTACAATTATTTAATTTTACAGGTCACACGAAAACACCTTAGGCTAGTAATTTAGTAGTCTCAATGTGTGTGTGTTCGTTAAGATATCTGAAGGTTTGTGAATTGTATCCGTGAAAGAATACGCAGTGCTTACCATGTAGGATGAAGACATACAGTAATTTCTGTTTTTCATCAGTTCACAAATTGATGTTTATTTGATGTTAAGAATCATATGCTCAAGTCATTTCTATTTGAAAAGTCACAGTCTTTTCTTGCAGATAAACAATCAGATTTTGTGATAAGAAGCTAGAAATTTTGTGTAAATTAGATATTTGTAAAATGGTACACGATAGCGTCATAAAGTAATTCCAAAAGTTGACATTATCACCACAAAATTTGATGCATCTCATTTAAAGATATAAATACAAACCAATAAGCCACCAACCAATGTTATTTCTGACAATCTCATTTACTAAAGCTATAAAGTGTCATCTTCAGTTACACTGACCTCGTGAAGCGTGCTTATCCAAAATTTATCCGGTAAGGTTATTTGAAAATGGGTTCTATTGCTTAAGACCTTATCATTCCTGATCATCTAGCTTTATTGGATTTTTCATTTAAAATTATCAACATAGATAAACTGGTTCTAAAGGAAGTAACAACCCTATGGTAAATCATCATTTCACGCCTAGTCTATATGTTCAGTAACAGTATTCAAACTCTTGTTTCGTTATTATCCAAGCATCCTATAGTTAGTATGTTTTTGGCATGTGTTCGCCTTCTCTTTGTTTGTTTTATATTCATAAAGATGAAAATCATCTTTCATATATCTGTTTATCATTCTTATTATATTTTGTTTATCTCGTAACTTTATTCGATACTTAAAACCTGAACTTAACTTTTGATAACGCTATCAATAACGCAATACTTTTTTGTCTGATTACAGAATACTAGGTGTAAAATAACTAACTAAACAGTTGTACGACTTAATCAATTGATTTTTGCTGAAGTGTATATCAGTCATTAATGCAATGGTCTTCTGTCATTGACCACTTATTTAGTTTGACAGTTGAATTCATGAGTTATTCTGTGTTAGGTGTGGGACAGTTATCCACCTCAGACAGTGGATGAATGGTTGTGTAAGATCATGGATGGACTAAAAGTAGACATCGACATCGTTGGATGCCGGTTCAGTGGTCTGGAGTCAAAGTGTTCAAGCGCAAGACCTAGAGGTTCTGAGTTCAAGTTACATGTGCGGGATCGTGGATGAGCACTGTTGAGAAGTCGCATACTATAACGAGTCGAAAATTCAGTGCTTCCAGATTTTCTGTGGTGGTCTAGCTTAGATTGTCTCGTGATAATAATGAATAGTTATCAACCAGAAAATGATTTAACAATATCTTATCTTTTCAGTCATTCATTGCTAAGTCAAAGCAAGTTTGGGATTATATGCTTTATACAATTTCATTTCACTAACGTTTGTTATCTGGTCAACTTTTTGATTGATTCAAAAAAAATTAGTCATTTTTCTTCTCAATTTCCATGGCTATTCACCTTTGAATAAAAATAATTGGATATAAAAATTACGGAAGTGAATTATTACTTTTGATGAAAACAGGTTATTAATATGAACCATGTTAATCATATCATATATGAGTATTAACTATCATTACTTATTTCACTTGTTGATGACATCATATATGATACTTGACAACAGATTAACAATATTACATCACGTATATAATGACAACTATTTATGGAGAAGTTAATATTTGAATACAGTCATTCAGTTGTTACGGTCATCTGTAAATATAAGATCTATTAGATGTGAATTTGTGGAATTTCTTGTAAATAAACGAACATTATGTTAACTTTGAATTAATGAGTCTTTTCATGTAAATGTATAAATGAAGATTATCAAATGCTTAGTCATATGATGATATGATTGTTATACAATAAAAAGAACCCTGTTATTATTGACAAGAAAAGGGAATTAAAAGAAAAATGTGTCATGTTGCCAAGATAAAAACTTTAACTTCAAGTTTTCAGAGTTTGAATACTTCAATAATAGTTAATGAATTATTTGGTTCTTTTAAATATAGGACTTAATCCTTTACTTATCGGATTTAGAAAAATGTAAATTAAAAACAAAACAATTTCAATGACAAGATGTGTTGTTTTTAAAAAAAAAATATTTATTATACAAATGTTAACTTACCAAGTTCTGCTGTACGAAATTTTACTAAATCACTTGGTAATGATAAACCAGCTACTCGACTAACTGCATGAACTTGAGCTGAATATAAAGTAAATGGACTAAGACCAGTGAGATTATAAACAATCATTGGATTTTCTTGAGAATACTTTGTATCTAATATATTAAATGAATTTTCTGATTTCATTTCAGATGGATCGATATTTGTTATTTGACGACGGCTAAGTTCACCTAAACCACCATCATCAATTTGTAAACTAACAGTGTATGAATCAACACCAGATGATATACTTGGTGGCCATCGTAATACAGCATAAGTACTACCAATAGGTCGTGCATCTAGACTTGATGGTGGAGCAGGGAGTTCTAAAAGAATGTAAACACAATTGAGAAGATAAAATCTTAAGTAATGTTTGAATTGAAAAGTATATACAAAACGGAAGTTTCATCTAACAGGCATGTGAACTGAAAATCTCTCTACGATCATCAGTTTCTTGGAGATTGCAGGTATGCCTTGATGACGATGGGTGCCAATTGTCATGAAGTCTATAATAAACAAGATTTCCTACAATCTACCTTCAACCATGAATCGTCTAAACTAAAAACCATTTGTTCAGTGTTTGTAAAGTTTTCCACTGTAAAACTCATCCAAATATTTCTTACAATTAGCTACGGAATAGTTACACTATCATTAAGTATAAACGATTTTCAATAGTTGAGATCATGAGTCAATTGAAGCTAGAACACCATGGAAAACCTCGAAGCAGTGGACGGCCGCTACGTCCTGTTGTGGGACTCCTCGGTAGTGCGCATCCACGATCCCGCTCGCAGGATTTCTAATTCTTTCTACAGCTCAGTTGCACACATCATTTTCATCAGGATCTGATACAGTATGATAGGTCCTGGATTCGAATCTCGTGAGGCGGGATCATGGATGCGCACTGCTGAGGATTCCCATACCAGAACGAAACGGACATCCAGTGCTTCCAGGTTTTTCATGGTAGTCTAGTCTCAATTAACTTATGATCTCAACTATTGAAATCAGTAAAATCTCCAAAAAACCCCTTCTGATAAATGATTTTATTGTATTATTATATCTGTTGATATATTTTTCCTAGGCAAACAGAGTTAAGATGATATAAAATGAATCATTCTATCACCTTAGACTATACATGCTAAATGCAGTATATTTACAAAGGTAACTTTGTAAGCTGTTTAAATTCATATTTAAGATTGATTTCAATAATCTTCTTTAGATAGTAATTATTCATTCAGTCAATAGTAAAGGATTAAATGGATTAAACTGTCTGAAGTATTTCTTATCTGAACAAATTTAATGCTGAATTCAATACTTCTTATTTCATGTTGATAGTCATGTTTCTTATATATTAGAATCACTGTCGTTAATATTTGTTATTCTTATATACTTCACCATTATTGAGAAATATTTCACAGCTTCCGATTATGAAACCCTGACTATTGTTGTCAAATAATATCATTACTTTGAATGAAAGTTACTATTGTTTTAAGATTCACATCAGAAATCAATAATTTATGGTACAACCATTTTTTAAAACCGATGTGTTATAGTGATTGCACTAGCTTAGGTTTGAATTTTAAGCAAACATATACACAGACACGGAAGTCTTATGTCGGAGTATGTTGTTCCCGTGTAGAGATTCCTTAGTTGAAAGTTCTAAAGAATCGACTAAGAGAATTTCATAAGGCAATATATTGTCACTTTGCGACTAGTAATCACCAGTTCCATCGGAATTGGAAAATGCATGTTTAGCTTATATATTGGAAAAATGATCGGAATGTATCAAAGAACAATGTATGTTTGACAATTATATGAAGTTTATAACCCTCAGCGCCTAAATAAAATACGAATGTTCAGTTGTTTATATTTTCAAAAATGACAGATAAATAGTGAATTGTAGTTTATCAAGAATTTCTGCATAGATCATTTGAATTAGATGAGGCAACCTAAATAGAATTTTAATGTTATGGATATGTTTAAAATATCTAGTGATTTGACTGCTGAGTTTAGCTAAATTTTGTGATGGTTTTGTAACGGAACTTCTTCTCGACATTGAGAACGTTAGTTTTCATGCATTTGAATTTAGTATTTTCATACTCTATGTAGACCATGGTGCTTTTATGTTGTTCAGTCAAAGCCCGGTAGTCAATAATTTGATTTAGATAAATTTCAGATATTGCCCTATTCTTATCTAATATGACCGACGGTTAATTGACAACATAAAACATATGATACAGGATTATTTACTCATCAGATGTTCACTACCAATTCAATAGAAAGAGTTGTCTTAAATAATATTTGCATAAATATTTAGGTTATTAAATGTCAACTTACGCTTTACAATGACACTAACATTTCTTCTTACTAGACCAAGACCATTTTTTGCAATACAATTATAACCGGATGATTCTGTGATATCTGTTAAACGTAGTGTTGCTTCGTGTGGTTGTGGCTCTGTTAAAGCACGTTCAGATAGCATAATTGGTCCTGAAACTCTTGGTCCAGCTGGTGTACCTAATGTTGACCACCAAACCATAGGTATCGGAAAGCCTCCAGCTCGACAAGTCAAATTTGTACCTTTACCAGAGGATACTTCAACTTTTTCAGGCATTTCATTAATTGTTGGTGGGAACTGAATGCCTATAAATAGTCAATGAATATTTAAAAGAGCATTTTAACTAATAGTTTCTATATTATACTTACTAACAAATGACATTGTGAACCATATAAAAATTTAATAAGCATATCATTCAAGCAAAACAATCCAAGCTTGCTTACTGTTTTACTTAGGATATCATGAAAATTAATAAATACAAATGCGTGCAGACAATCATTCCAGATTTTGTGTTTGAATGTGTGCTTGATACTTTACATGCAAAAAAGTAGATTATAGCTACGAAGGATAGTGCGAAAAAATGATGTCAAATTAATCTTTTGAGTAGCTTATATACAAACCACTACTTTAAAACTGAGAATTAAAATGAAACTATAGTTTACAGTAATAGTATTCTCCAAGTGATTTACTTTTTTATGCAATTAATATTCAGTATGTACTATAATTAATAATCATGTTTGTACTGTTTACCAAATACACTAAGCCTATTATTTTCTAATTCCTTCTACAGGTCAGTGGTGCACATCATTTTCACTAGAATCTGATGCAGTATGAAAGTGTTAGTATATTCATCAGAAACACATTAGTATAACTTAGTTCAAAGATTTCTATTCATCGTTTATATGCTATGAAGAAGCCACTCATACTCAATACATCTTTATATTCCTTCAAAGCTTGCATAATACGAATTCATCTAGGATCGACTGTTAAATTAATGAAATCTGTGGAAATGAGAACGGGCTTGAAATTGTTTTGCTAATAAGAAATGACTTCAAAAAAGTACGGATATAATACATGGTGTAAATGAAAACTAAGTCTAAAATGAATCTGGATTTTCAAAGTCATAGTCGATCCTAGCTCAAATTACCTGACTTTTGATAAGCCCAAGAACAATAGTAATGAATCATATCGCTATTCATAACTGTTGACAGTGTTGATTTGAATTTAGGTTTATTTTATATTTCAGAAGACGTTTTGTGGATACTTTAGTAATTTTAATAGTTTAGATCATGAGTCAATTGAAGCTAGACCACCACGGAAAATCTGGAAGCACTGAACGGCCGTCACGTCTTGTTGTGGGACTCTCCGGCAGTGTGCATCCACGATCCCGCCTCTCGAGACATTTGAACTCAGGACCTATAAATCTCTCACGTGAGCGCTTAACATCTATACCATTGAGCCGGCATCCAACAGTGTTGATGTCTAATTTCAACTAATCCACGAAATTGAGAGACACATCTACCAATGTCCTGGAGTTCTGGTGAGAAGCGGTGACCAATGGAGCTCCACCGGGTCAGTTGTGAGACATCAACTCACTGAAGACAATGATAGAAGTGTCACTCAATTCCATGGATTAGTTGAAGTTAGACATTAACATCGTTGGGTACCGGCTCTGTGGTCCAACGATTAAATGCTCGCACGTTAGACTTCTGAGGAGTCCCACAATGGGACGAAACGGTCGTCCAGTGCTTCAAGGTTTTCCCTAATGGTCCAGCTTCAATTGACTCATGATCTTAACTATTAAAAGTTTATATTTTACCAAAATCTAAAATATGATTACAGAAAATGACTGAAGGTGGATCAGTTCACTAGAAAATCACCTTAATTTTTTAAAAATTAAATCTAATATACAGTTATCATTATGTTAGTAAATCATAATCTATTTAGTGAAATCTAATAAGTGTTTTAATACGAATATATATGAGACCCATCCCGTTACTCTAGTAAACTTGCCTCTTTGTTGAAGAAAATGATATGCAATTGTAAGATTATCTGTACATAAAAAAAAGTGGAAATGAATTTTCATTTAAATTTATCTTTTTGTCTATAAAATGCAAATTTTGTAAACGATTTCATAACTTGATATTCATTGTGTATTGAATATAGTCTAATTCAACAATGTACAATTAAACATGGAAACAAACTAGGTTAGAAGGTGACATGAATTTTTCAATGTTATAAATTATGTAGATGGGATTAGTTTTTAGTGGCCTGGGATCTGACTCCAGTTATGTCACATGTTTGATTGTTATTAAAATATACATTTCGTCAATGGTCGTATATAATTATCGACTTAACCCGCGTTAGTTAATAACAGAATTGGATAAGTCAAATGCGATAATGTATGTCTGAATACGTATATTTTGTGCACTCGTTGATCGGAACAGATAATCTTAGAATCGTAACGAATGAAGCGAAGAAGAGAGAACGAAGCAAAGCAAAAGGACTCACAGTGGATAAGGCGTGTGAGGGTTAATTAATATTTATAGTCACATGAAAATAAGTTACAGGTATATAATAAGATAAGAAGTACATACACATATGCTCGTATAAAAATAGTCAGTGAATAATTTGACAAGGTCAAAATGTGACTCAAGAAGAATGGATAAATTGGCCTGTCCAGAAGGCTAGAATAAGGTATATGGGCTTAACAAAGTAACCGACACTACAAGTTAGTTTTCTGGATAAGACACATTTTTGGAAAATGGAGAAACAATTTCACTCTTGTTCATTGTACGTTTTCAAAACATCATCGTCATCCTTTTGAAGAGTTCAAAGAAAAAAAATCATGGTATCAAACTTTACCGTTTGATTGGCAAAAACTTGATGTTTTACTCTTAAAGATCAAAACCCTTTTCTCTATAAACTTGATGTTATATAAAGTTTTATGAATTTAAGAACGAATTCTAGTGACATTGATATCGCCAAAAGCAGTATATATACATTTAGGCTAATATTTTTTCTAATTTCAAAACTTCTTAGCAGTGGACACTAATGAGAACTCACTTATTCGATTGCAAGATTTCATAGTGACAATTACATCTATTTTAAGTATCCTAACTTGATGTTGAATCAAAACTCTTAACTGATTTGAGCGCCAAGGTGATGTAAGACATTAAAGATGAAGAATGTAGTTGTTAAATCTCAGCGAAATATGTAGATTTGTCACACATAAATAATACAAGTACGATGGGAGTGAATTATCACATGCATACAGGAAAGTCAATTACGTTAGACAAAAATAACTTCTTAGCAACTAAGTAAATCATAATTTCTTGTCAAAATTGTGCAATTTATTGTATTTCATCGTTGTTATTTTACGATGAATGGAATAGATATTACTAATGACACTAGATGCTCATCTCACCAGCTTACAAATATACGGAAATATAAACCATTGTATTTGAATTCACTGTTATAATTGTCAGGATTTCACCATTAGATCTAATGCTCTAAAATTCGATTACTGGTAGGGCTATAGGGCACGAATCGCTGATGAGTCACAAAATATCTTAAAAATAGTTCTTTACTGCTCCCAAAAAACTCGGTAATCAACAACAAATATACTTTAAACCTTAAACTCATATCAACAACCATCCAAGGAAACACGTTTATTTTATTTTCATAAACTTTAACTAGAAAAGTATGCTTAACATTGTAATTAAATTAAATTTCAACGATGGAGAATCGTTTCATATCGAAAATATTCAATTATCAATTTATGGTTTCAGTATTGACTAAATAATATGGATAATGACAGTTAATTTAAAGAAAAAGAACAGTATAATATCAAATTACAATCGACAGATTAAAAGTTTTCCAAAAAAGAAGTGTTCATTTTTGTTTTTATTAATGGTAATCTGAGAAAGCCAGAAAGAAATATATTTGAATGCATCTTATAAATTTAATAGAATATATATGTATTTAAGTTAACATAGAATCTAGGACTACCATTCCAAACTATTTGTGACGTGTTAGCTGACTATACTATATTCCAACGATTGTATTCATATTGGCACTCATACCTAGTAATATTTACCTTAAACGGCAATGAGTTAACCACCGAACTACTGAATTCGGGTAAACACTAGTTTGTTTAACATGTATGATGCGTATATTAGTAAGGATTTGCATTATATCGTTGTTAATGTTTGGAACTGAATTTCAATCATTGTTTTAATATATACATTGTGTACGAATCACTTCCGTATAACCAGTTTGTAACAAGCTTTGTACGGTCAGTATATAACATGACGGTAGTTGAAGAGGTGGCTAAAAGGTCTGAGTCCTGCTCAAATATAGATACATCTGGCTGATGAGACCAAAAGATGGTGAAATTTGAGTATTTGAATCAAGTACTAGCCACGAATCATCCACTTTGAAATTTTTGCGATAAAATGGATATACTGAAGCGATCCGCAGAGCATGTACGCATGTCAGCGAAGAATAAGCGGAATTTAATACTGATTATCATAGTTGAAATAATTCAGACCTTGATAAACAATGATTCATCATGTATTTGTTTGAAGTTTACAATTTGAAGTAATGTCGAACATCATTTGAAAAGGAACTTGTGGAATGCTTGCAAAATATCTGTTTGATAATTGAATATAGTATCAAGCACTACTCATTTGACTGCAGTCAATGTTCAATGAGGTCTAAATAATGTCCTTATTACATTTTGAAGTGGCAAATGAATTTAACTAGGTCGCTTGTAAATTGTTTGAATCAGTTTATTTTGTCATTATGCTATTACAATGAAACCACATTCCAACGCCATATAAATGTCATTTTCACTAAATTACACTAAGTATATTTCTATTATGTACATAACTGAACATAAAGAAGGTCATAAGTAGCATGTCATATCCAGTAACTCACAAGATTCGTTTGAAAAGTTTATCTATATTCTAGACTATCAAACTTCGGATACATACTATAAGTTTACATTACAGAATGCTTTTAACTAGAAAAACATTCGAAAATCTGAAATCGTTCAACAAGCATTTTGTCTGAGTACGAGTCTCTTGAGTGGTGTGCATCGATGACCCAACCAGAGGTTGGATTCAGGCTCTTCTGATAACTCAGTGAACGTTTAAATTCTAAACCACCTAACCTGGGATTTCTAGCCTGTCAGTTTATGATTTTGCGAGACCGTTGCATTGGTACTACTTGTCTTACGCTTGGTATGGATGAACTCTACTAGTCACGACTTCTCGTTAGAGCTCTGAAAACTACCTCTGAAAGTTAGTTGGCAGCAAGTACATGATAAGTGATTACCATGAGTGGTTGCGGATGTTGATGTATATTGAAATTTCATGGCACAGACTAACTTTGAATTAATGACTTGATATACTTTGGTTCAATTTTTTCATCTAGCGTTTTCACAAAGCTTGTTTAAAAATCAAAACTCCACATTTTTATGTAGATGTGTAATCATAAAAAGATGGTTAGAAATTGAACTTACGTCGTACATGCAAATGGCCTGAATTACTTAATACTGTACCTATTTCATTTCGTGCCATACATTCATACGCTCCAGAATCAGTTTCAAGTAAAGTTTCTATTACAAGGGATCCAGATCCTGTAAACAACAGATGTATAAAAGTGACAATCTGGTTAAGATACTTTATTTCTTGAAAATATTTTTCTCAAGTAAGCATTAAATTCATGAGTATTATGATTTCATTTCATTTATTATTATGGTGTATTGAACTAAGATTTGCAAATCAGATAACTGTCGGATGAATAGAACCAAGTAACAACAGCTTTTAATATATTTTAATCATGATGATTGGTGATTAGCCACATTTTATTGACTGAGAGTTTTGAATATGATTCATTAATAATGCAATATGATAAACACAAAAATATGTTCGATACATTTGAACGGTAAATGTAGCTACGTAACGTGAATCAATAAATATCAGCAGGCAAAATGATCAAATACTTTCACATGTTACCACATATATTAACTGATTTGAAATATATATAGGAGTGTTTATATTCAAAAAATTGAAACGAAAATACTGTTTTAATACCTTTTCCAATCATACTGTGTTTCATTATAAGCAGAGATAGATGGTGGTTAGCAATGAAATGAAGGATGCTCGTCTCGCCCTATTTGAGACTCATCACTCCGATGTGCCTGGGTCCCAAAGTTAATATTCACTCCTGGAATCGAACGCAGTACCATTCACTGCAAATGCCACTGCGGTATCAATTTAACTACTTAGTCCAGATAGCCACTAGTTTGTGTAATGAGATGAAGTTTAATTCATTTTTGTATTGGATATTTGTGTTTTTCTATTGACGTTTCGGACTGCAATAAATCAGCCTTCTTTCGGCATATGTGCATAATGTTCAGCTTGCCTCGATATTGCCTCAAGTCACCTGTGTTATAAGCTCGGAGTGAACATCATCTCTGGACTGAAGGTACATCCAAATGACTAGTCCTAAATAGCAAGAGATGTGCGTTCTAAACTCCACTGCTAGGCGCCATACATCTTTGCTTATAATGCATGTGACTCAAGACAATATCGAGGAAATCTGCACAAGACGAACACAAACCAGAAAGATATTGATCAATTATAGCTCGAAAGGTCAATGCGAAGTTTCAAACAACCAATACAATAATGAATTATACTTTGTTTCGATTTTTAGGTACTTCGTTTACATTGACAATGTCTTCATTCATGGGTATGCTTTTGTAATGATTTTATTTAGCTACATTTGGGTGAAAGAGACATATCAGAATTTTTATATTTTTGATTGTACACTTAATAACTTCTTTTATTCAGGGATTAGTAAAACGCAAGCAAGTTTCTGGTAAGTTCAATAGCTTCATTATATTTTCTGTATTATGAAATTTATCAATGGGAGTTGAGTTACTAAAATCACTCATAATTGAATCACTGGCCCCTTAATACTATTATCACGTTCCAGTGGTGAGTTTTATGAATTTAAACGTGACATCTCATATGTGTAACTTGTAATTATCAGTTATTGAGACGTTTAGCTCTAAGATGAGTTTGTGACATATAGGTAAAGAGACAAATTTATTTTCGACTGAAAGGATGAAAAAGACACGTAAAACTATTCAAGTGTAATAACTAAGTGAATGTATCAGTCGATTAGTGAATGAAAATTTATCGCATAATTTTAGTGAGATGTATGATAATATTTAACAGTTGAGAAATATTGAAAACTTCTTGTTCGGAAGCATAGACAGGAAATAATTATACAATCCTTATTATTATGGTTTAGTTTTATTCAAATTTAAGTAAGTTCGTGATATATCTAGACTAATAGTTTCTGCCATCATTGACATGTAAATGAGTTTGATTGTGATTAACATCGTGAATATCAGCATCTACATTTAATACTGGAAATCATTCTTTTCATAAACCCGTCGTTAGTGTTATTATGATCAACTGGTTAGAAATGTAAGCTAATCTATTTTTGTTCAGCATTCTCAATGGATAGTTTTTGGGACTTAACCTAAACATCTAGGTTGCAAGCGCACAGTTAGTTGGTTACTAATAAGAGTACAATGTCATCTATTTCTAATCCCCTAGCTATGATCAAATCCTATAGATCAAGCTTCATTTCAGACACTAATCTCAATTACTTGGAATCTTGTGAACAAATTGAGGTATGAGATGGTTGAATGTAGTAGACAGGTTATAAATCCCACTGGAAACAACATTCCTTTTAAGATTATAAGTACCCCTTGCTTGCGAATGCCAACTAAGATGAAATCTAGATCTAGCAGGGTTTCCAGTCAATCAGTTTCAACCAACTAACACTAGTCATAAATTGAAATAAAACAGTGAAGAATCATTTACAATTTCTTTGTTTAGGATTAGTCAGTGATGAAGTTTTACTTCAAAGTGAACATTATCCACAAACTTAATGAAAAACGTATTTGTTTTAATCTAAAGTACACTAACAAACATTTTCTAAATTATTTTCTATATTTTGTCTAGTACGATGTTTTGGGAAGAAGTTAAGGATGATCAATTTGTAATTGTCTTTATGGATAAACAAAATATTAATCATGAAATAGAAAGTTATACAAACTGCATTTATGCCAAATGTAATCTAAATGCCTGGAAAAAATAATAAATCGTCTAAAGATTTTTGTTTTATAGAGTGCTGATGACATTCTCTAGGACAATAATGAAACGTTCATATTCGAGCATCCATTTTCTAGAATGTAACATAACCTTAAATCTAAATCTTTTTTATTCTAAAAGAAATCACACAATAAAAAATGATTATAAACATAATTATTCAATACATTTTAAACAAAGTCTAAACTCACCAACAATTCGAAATCTTGGAAGACTTGTATCAATCAATTCAAATTGATCCTTTATCCAATAGACTGTTGCTTGAGGTTCAGCTGATACATCACATTGTAAATGTGTTGAATCACCAACTTGACTTATAGTTGCTGAAGGATCTTGATGAACTTTTGGAAATCCTCTTGGTGGAGCTAATTCATCAAAATAAACACATTATCAAGAGTTATTATGTACAGAAGAAATTGAATTACTTAAAACAATGAAAGTCAATGTGAATAAATCTCTTTCATTCATCAGTAGTCAATCATAAATTAAGCAAAATAAATTAAGTTAAACGATAGAAAATATCTTGTCTTTTTCAATGATAGTAACACTCAATTGATTTTAATATACAATTAAAAAATAAATAGGTTTTGATAACAGGTAAACAAATATTATTGATTTCACGAAACCCAATCAATACTATTGCTGATACTACTTATAGTAACAATAATAGTAATACTAAAAGCGTTAAAATTTCATTTCTAATCCATATAGCATTTTTATCAGTCTACCGGTGTAATTGTTACTTTTAGTTTTTTTGTATCTGATTATAACTGTACACAATATCTGTCGGCAAATGCCTAAAAAAGTTTTTTTCATAATTATTTCACTTATGTAAATATGTTTAGATAGATCACTTATCAAATATAATGATTGAGCAAGTAAGTAAAATACAATCCATGTTGAACTAATGAAATGCTTCCTTGACTTTTTTTTCCGTTTCATGTTTTCTTTTTGTTTTTATTAGATTAATGGACGATAGAGTAATATGTTATTGGTTTTTTTAAACTTTGAATGAACGATTGTACAGAAATGAAAAAGATAATTGGTCTGAGAATTTAGAATAATATAACTTCTGCAGCGTTCAACATTTTAGAAAAGTATAGGATGTTACTTACAAAAGTCCCTAGTAGTACGTCCATATATATGATAAAAAAGATTGACAGAACTTTGAGAGGAATTTCAAGGTCATAGTAAATAGCTCTAAGTGGTATTGCTAGAAAACATAATATGATTCGTGAATGGAATGTGTGAAATAAAATTTTCTTAGAGCTCTTCTTGATCAAGAATATATTTGTAACAGTTTTTATTTGAATAGATGATCAAAAATAACATGCAGTTATATGTTGATTGTATTCTGTTTTAAAATTATTATGCATTTATATGTCCACAATAATTGATCATTTATTGTCCCGAGTATCAATAATAGGAAGGTACAAATCATTACAAAGGTCAGTAAACAAATTGCATGTTGGTGGTTGTAGTATTGTATCACTCTAATAAACGTCACATCGGCGTTCGAAATGGTAACTACTAGTTGGGAGTAACAATGTGGACATTAACACTGAGGTGAAGCTATGTGCATTTGGAAAGGATCAGACAAGAAGAAATTCACTTGGTGAATTCCGTCGCTTCTCACTACATAAATATATAAACTGTCTAATGTATTGTATGAGATTGTATGTTCAATATCGTAACTAATTTATTTGTGTTTCGCGATAGATGGATGTTTGTTATTCGCTTTCTTTTGCTCATTAAACTTCACATATATTTTGGTGATTGTTGGTAAAGAAAACATCTATGTTTCACTACGTGAATGATTGTGTTTACTGAGAGAGAGGGAGAAATGACAATCTAAGGAAGTCATTTGTTTACCGAAATGACTTCAAGAGGAAATTGAGTCTGACAACTCAATAAAAGCAGATAACAAATGTCCATGTTTGTCTGTCGTTAAACATATGCTTATGATAATTAGTAAAACTGGTTCTAGCTCAGGCAATATGATTTCATTTTAAAAGAGTTGTTTTTCGGGTTTAATTAAGTTTGTTTACATTTTAGCCATAATGAACTTCGCCGATTTCTTTATGTTTTAAAGTAATTTGTTGTTTCCTTTTATTATTTTTGATTTTTAACCCCTGATTTCTTTAGCTGTACTTTTCCTTTGTGATATGCAAATATTTTAACCAGTATTATAATTAGATTAATCGAAATGTACTGCGACTATATATTGCACAAGTCTGATAAACTACATCTTCTCATTGGATTACCTATCTATCTATCTATCTATCCGTCTATTTATCTATCCCTCTATCTGTCCATGTTATTACCGAACATGAGAGAAGATATGGATAAAGAGTTGTTGTTTTGTCAGACGAAATGAGAAGTAAAATAAAACAATAAGTTAATTAAGTTTGGTTGCGCAGTTTGACTATAAGAATTTAATAAAGGATAAAATGTGTATAAAAATGATTATCAAAGTTATATATTTTTGTTTAATTGGATAGACAATTTGTTGGCAAAGCAGACGATAAATTAAGTACAGGGAATTTTTCTAGGCATTTAAGAAAACTTTAATGACGTAGATTACGTAATAAACTCTAAGACAGTGAACTAACTTATTCTAAATTATGGAAAAGTTACAAGAGAATAGTCATTTGGCATATATGGTATGACACATTAGACTCTTAAGTAATACTATTCAAATCAAAACTTAGATTTCAGTTATAACTTGTATCATTATTTTCGAATAAGTTTGTGAAAAACAAGCCTTAGAAGACGTTAGTTCTCATATTCAGTGATAAGGACTTCATATAACTCTAGTTAGGATCCATTCATTACACCAATCATTTCGGTCATTGATTGAACTAGATCGATCATTTTTTCCAGTGTGGTCATTGAACCTGGTCCATCTTATGCCCATCAGATCTAATTGATATGAACTACTTTCACTGAAAAGAAAACCCAATAAATATGTTTTATTGTTTAAAATCAATCAACATGAAACTTAGATTTGTGTCTTTCTAGGTTGTTTTATGTATTACTATGAAGCATTCGTCTTAAATAATTCAAACCATATATATGTAAATTTTTAGGTGTTTAAATTCAAATGAATATTTGGTGAGACTATAAATTATGTACGATCCTTGAGAGACGCCAAAGTGATCTTGAGTGTTTACCTGCTTAATAGGGCTAAATGAAGGTTATAAAGCAGTTTAAAGAATAAAGACAGTGATTTACAACTAAAATGGCAATACGCTATTTGGGCGGGTGGGTGAGCGAATTTCGCGCCAAAATCCAAGACGTTACCCTAAATCTGATTTGTTCGTCCTCAACTTATAGTCTCGCCGAATATTCTTATTATTTAAATGACCAGCTAAAACCAAAAAAATCTTTACTACCAATAGGAGCTTGTTAAAGTTGTTGAATTTTCGTGGTTTACATCATCAGTTGACCTTTGTTAGAAAACTGTTGAAAATTAGATAGTAATTGGTAGTTTAGTATGGTAATTCTAAGTAATGTGAATACACCGCCATGGACCTTCATAAATCCATTCGACCACTTTTCCTTCAAACTACTGAGACTCTATCTAGTAGTGTGTCTTCTAGTTCAAATACCTCTTGATTCTATTGATAGTTACCTGTATTATATTAAACAATATGTTGTGATCCACTGACCATAACTTCTTATTCGAACACAGAGAATAATCCATCAGAATTAGTCATCGGTTAACATATATATATATATATTCTTATTATGGTAGATTAGACTATAATATAAACGATTCAAATCTTCAATATTGTCATGAAAACTACAAGAAATTTTAGTGTTCATGATTTTCTCTCTTACTTTCTCTACTTCTCTTTGATAAGTTTCAGCTATTTATTATTCTATTTTTTTTATTTTTTTTAAAAATATATATTTTTATGTACACGATTTGTTTCCCAGAGCATAAATTGACCTTTTTCTTTCCAGTTCATTAACAAAGATAATAATAATAATGTAGAGTAGAAGAATAAAGATATGAATAATAACAGTTTATGATGATTCTTATTTTGGTATTGTTGCTATTGTTGTACTCTTTCTACTCTTTTCTTTCATTTTTTTCATTTCACTTATTTCAATATTAGAAAAGTTCAACTATTCCTTTTTATTCAACATTTATGTATCGCTTTTTTTGTTGTTTGTTTTGAATTAAACAATAACAATAATAATAACAACAACAACAAAAAATCCACATGAATAACTTCTAACTGTTTATTTCTTTGTTTATTTTTTTCGCTCTCTCCCTCTCTCTTTTTTTTAGAATGAAAATATCTGTTGAGTAAAGGTTACTTCTGTTTTCTTATTGATTAGTTACATTTTTTTGGCTATGTGTTATAGGGAATTGTGAAGTTTTCATCATGGACTGACCTCAGTTAGGCAATTGTTGAAAATCAGAAAGCAATAGACTGATAGTTTATTCTAGTATAATACTCAGTAGTTTTTTGTTTTACACCCTCAACCCAACTGAAGATCCAACTCATGACCTTTAAGTTGTTTGAATAAAATTAGTCCGTAGTGTAAATTGTGAAAATACAATTGCATCCACAAATTACTTTTGCAACCGTTTTCATTTATTTACTGATGATTGATGTGAATCAGTTACTAATAGACGGTTTAGGAAAATGGTTGAGTGATATCACGAAATGAAAGAGGTTAGATATGAATATCAGCATTAATGAAGAGAGAGACGAAGAATTTAGTATCGATCACTATTAAGAGAGTGGATCTGGAGTGCTAAGGAATCCCATACTAGGACGAAAATGCTATTGGTGACGCCAGGTTTTCAGTGGTTATCTAACTATGATCAGATAGTTATGTAAACTAACTGTTTTTCTCCTTCTTTCCTCATTCTTTAGAAATAACTATTTTTACTAACTTTTCTCAATATTCAATCGACGATGTATGAATGTAACATACGGGGAATAAATTACTACTTATTTATGATTTTCAACCAAAAAACGGTGTCTGTTTAACATATAGTTATTTTTCAGACATGAAGACAAATATTTTTGATGAAATTAAAATCATAATTTGAAGTTGAAGTAATTTCAACCGTCATTCAGATATCTAATATTGAGCAGCCTAAAGACAGGACAAATTTTACGCACAGATGATGAAAGTTAAATTATGAAAATGTTGACAGAAATTCCGTAATGATAGACAATATCTGTAACAAAACAAATAGTATATTTTCATTCAACAGATAAACTGAAATATTAGGAAAGATTTATAAAAAGTTTATTTAGTCTAGTTATCAAACTATTTCGTGCATGGATGACAGCTGACAGATGCATTCTAAGTATGGACCGGAGTCAGACAAGGCTGG